CAGTTCGACGATTACTAAGACCTTAAGCGTTCAGCAACATCTGCATTTGAATTGCCAAAGGCAAAAATAAAACGAAATTTTTTGTTTTTCTTAGCATTCTAGTTCACAACTAGTAGCTTTCCCTGCAGGGCTGTTAATTCCTTTATTTCCATGCGTGTGTGTGAATTGTAAGTGTATGCGCTTCCGACATATGCCTGTATTTATTGCTTAGCTGATTAAATTTACTTTTCCACTTAATATTTTTGTGGTTTAGTTTTGCAAATACCCCATTGAAAGGGACAATAACCAGGAAATGAGTTGGTAATAGCAAAGGTGAGTGCTAACCGCTGAGTTTTAACACGGCCGATTCCTTACGAAATTCATATCTTACCAAATCACAGATCTGGAATACGGGTTTGTCAGTTGTAAAAAGAATAAGCATACATATTCCTATTATTAACCCGCTTACTTTATTCAGTGGTGAAGCTTTTTGTTGGTGGGTAGCTGTATCCACGCTAATGCCTGTAACAGCTTGCATTTAAAGCAGCGAAAGTTGTCAACAAATTTCCTTCCGCCAATCACTCTTCCAATCCCCCAGCCAATAATACCACAAATTTTGTTACTCAGACAATTTAAAACTTTTCATGTTTCTGCCTATAGCGTTTTTTGTATGCTAAATTTTCTTAAAGTTGTTGTAATACTTTTAACCACTACCAAACAAGTTTACTTTTAGCTGTTTTTAACATTGGTATACGCTTGATCATGGTTTCATAAGGAAAGTGTATATGTATATGTATATATTTTCCAAAGCCCATACCAAACCTCTAAGTACTCGCATTGGAGTGTAATGTTATTTCTCGTTTGTGATTCACGAAATCATCAATTGTTTCACCCTCTTGCTTTACTTACTCCACCTGCTATTTGCGCCAACTTTATCCTCATAAATTCGTAAATCCATTTTCCAACTTTATCAGCTCGCTTTTCAAGCAAATCTAACCCTCACTCGCTATAACTTCAAAGCTTACACCACAGTAGCTTAATTAGCAGAACTTTATGAGCTTAGCTTGTTTTTGTATGTCTTATTTTCGTTGTTGTTATCCACAGAAATTTTAATCTATTAGACTGCCTTCAAAGTGCAAATATTTACTCAAATTATTTTATTTACCTATTCAGCTAAAGTATGTACAAATTTCCAGTGAAAAGTAAAGTTTTGTTCAGTGGATTTTACTTTGGCGGCACGTCTCTTCGCAGATGCGATTTTGTGATTTATGAAATAATTTCACAGCAAAAAAGCCTTTAGGGTGCACCTTGGTTTTCATAAATCTGTTACAAAATGGCTATTTAACTTCTTGAGGCAGTTAACCGTTACTTGAAGTAGATATGAGTTTTTTTTAGGTGTACAAATAACAAAATTATAGCAAGGACTGTCACCACACATTAGGGTGGCCCAAAAATATATATGTGAAAAAGTGATGTCGGTATTTTATTGAAAACTTATCGATATCGTGATTTGCTTCTGAGATACAGTAAAAATAAAAGCGAAAGTTCATCAATTGTTTTGAACATCTTCAACTTCACCCCTCATTTCAGCCCTTAAAGTAAAGCGTGTTGAAGTTCACTTTAGTTTTCCTTTAATCGACATAACATGAACTTTATTCCCAAAAAAAATTATTGCGCTATCTCTATTCCTTCTCCCTATTGGTTAGCCGAAAAGAAGGCGTGGACAAGGTGCCCGTCGTCAACGAAATGTGCGAACTATAATAGAGCGATGATCAGCAGCACTCCCCTCGCAGCAAGTGTTGGCGGTGTCACACAGGGTATTAATACGTATACGTACTGCGGATAAGTTCACAGTGCGGGCTGTCCTTAACCCCGCGAGTCCGACGACCACAATTTCCGACGCCACCGTCGCAGGACTGCGAGTATGTACTCCAGCGCGTCGATCCGGTGGAGTGTGCTATCTCACGCTACGTAACAATCTTGGTAGTCATGAAGAGCTCTCCGTCTGCACTAACATTGAGACCGTCAGCCTAACGCCGACTGCGCTGCGTTCGTTATCGCAACAGACCGTGCAAGCCTTTAATAACTTGCGGCTCGCCGATCCCTCCTTTCATAGAGCAGCACCCATCTCTACGCCAAACTATTACAGCCTGGCCTGATGCCCTCCATCAAGAGACTATTGGTCGCGCAAAACGCGGTACCGGGATGGGTTATTTCAGGCGGGATTCACTAGGCAAGCCTAAACACATTTTAATTGTATCATATGTAGTGAAATTGAAAACGACTGAATTGTAATCCTCTACCTGTGAGTCTATTATGTAAACTGTGAATTATGCTTTTCACAGTAATACTGCAAGGTGGGTGGAATGTTCACTCCGTTCGCCAAATGGCAACCCTAACTTACCGTGTTTGTCAAAAGGTTCCGCTAACTACTTCAGTCTCTCTGAAGTTGAAGTAAGCCGATGTTATTAGTAATCTGTTAGTAACATCTACAGTGAGTATCTGTCAAAACCGTACAGATTTTTTTTCGTTTGTTGAAAATATTCGGTTCTATTTAAGTTTTACTAACCTTTAATAAAAATATAGTTCATACTATAACAAAATCCAAAAAACTCAAGGTTTTCAACTTTGTAACAATTAAAAACAAAATCGTTACATTTTCATCAAAAATTCAAATTTTTAATCAGAACTTTTTGGGTACGCAGTTTTATAGCTCATTTAATTTTGATTCAACAAAGTGCAAGTCTGAAGTCACCACAAAATACCATTGATTTTTGAGCATTTTTTTTTGTTTGTTGACGGCGTTGCCCACTTATGTAAGATATCTATGTATATGGAAGAACAAATGAGCAAATTCTATTTCTATATGGAAGATAATACGTAACACCCTCTACAAAAAAAAAAAATAATACAAATGGAAAGAAATTTACTGTACGATTTTGACGTGACAGTCACTGAATTATGAATTAAAAATTTCCATGTTTCACAAAGTTTTTCTTTTTTCATTGTATCACAAACATTTTTATTTTTTTATTATTTTCATTCCAATCTATTTATTTTATTTATTTTTAGTAATTCTGCGGAATTTTTACTTTCAACAAAACTTGTTTTCTTACTTTCGCTATGAAACAAACATGAGCTGCTGGCAATAGAGATTGAGCTATGTTTATTTGTATTATTATTTGCATTTTAAGTCCATTAATTACGATTAAATTTAGAAATTTTGCACTTAATTAACAAATTCAGTAATCATACAAAGGACTCAACAAACCAAGAAAAAAAAAATAATAATAATAAAAACAAAACAACGGAATTTAATCCAAATTATTTCTGAATCACACGCACAAAGAAAAACTCATTAAGGGTATTCAAACTATACTCGTTCCGGTCTTAATTCCTGAATAGGTATATCACCAACTTAACGAGGTGGCAGGACTGATATTTAATGTGGTAACAGAGCGTTAAAATGTCAGCCGATTCCTTTCTGTCACTTATTTGCTGGAATTTTCGCGCGCGCAAAGTGTATACATTTTAATCAAAGTTCAATAAATCTTGCTGTCGTGGAATTAATAAATGTTTATAAATAAAAGAACTTCACGTCAGCCGAATTGAAGGTAATTTTAACCAGAAAAAGAATAAACGGCGTTCGAAGTTGAAAGTCTTACCAAGTAACCAGATAACGAATTAGTTCATTTATGAGGATAGTCTGAATACCCTTATTGAAAATGGGTCTGGCTAATTCGTTGAATCTCTTTGTCCTCCGCCCGTTCAAGTGTCTACCTGACTTGCCTACACTAAATGTATACATACATGCATACATACATTTACTACAAACATACACTTTTATGTGCATACACACAAAGCTTATTTTGCTACACAAGTTTGTCTTCTGGTTGTTTCTCATTAGTAAATAAACAAGGTTTCTTGTTTATATTCATATTTGCTGTAACACCCCACCCCGCTACCTTTCTCTTACCTGTGGTTTGCAATTAGGGATGGCAAAAAAATATATAAAATTATCGATTAATTTTATCATATGACAAGCCAAAAACTAATAATTGCAATTATTTAGAAATAATCGCTTAATCGAATTTTTAAAGGCACTTTTTTACACTGAGTATTCCCAAAACACTTTTCCAAAAATATAATGCTGTAGTACCAGCTTTTGAAAAAATGCGCTCAGCAGGAGGCGAGGTACCAACTAAATGACAGTGTTTTTTCGAAAATCCTCCAAAGCCTCGATGATATTCCGCTTTAGTTCTAGGACTTGACAATTTAAATAAAAACTTATTTCATCGTGTGGGTGACCCAAATCATCATCTTTTCGCTTTCGTTTGTGTACAAGAGTTTTATGAGAGGCCCAAAGTTGGTTTCTATAAAATCATCTGAGCACATTATTTCATTTCGCAAGAATTTCATTACTGAGGCTAATGCTAACGGGTCTTTGAAATGAATTTTTGTGAACCTCGAGTCGAGTAAAGTTGATGCAGCTAGCAAAAAAAGAATGTTCGATGGATGGATTTTAGAGAACTAAAGAATTCATATTTCCTGAAAATATTTTTACGATTATTTTACAATTAATCGATTATGAAACACAAAACTACGATACAATTAAATCGTAAATTGGACAAAAATAATCGATTAATTTATTCAAATGCCATTCGCTGCCATCCCTATCTGCAATGCTCAGCCAGCAGCTAAACAAACGTCATTAAAATTCGCATCCCATTTGGGGTGGTTTTCCATATTTTCTTCACAACCTTTGCACAGAATCATCAAAAATATTTGTATCTAAATAAATTGCCATATTTACTGCTAGTCAACGTAGTAGAAGAAGAGATGCGCCCACACACACAAAAATAAATCTGTCGCACAGAAGTTAGATCGCGCCGCGTTGGTTAAAGATACCCCACCACCGCCGCCGCCGCCTACAACCCGGCTGCTGTTGCATCCACAAGGAATTAAAAAGTAAATAAAAAATGTTGCAATGCCAAACGCGTTCTGTTGCAAAAAAGAAATACCTTCGGCTGCTGCCCAATGTTTCGCGAATGAAACTATGTAGATGTGTATGTATTTTTATTAAACCACAATTTCATGCTTCAATTTTGTTTCTTCAACACTTTAACCGCTTTACTACGAAACATTAAAATCTTAAAATTGTTTTGCGCAAAATTTGGAACACAGCATTTAATTCGTTCGCTCAGAAATACGCCATACTTAGTTCGCACACAACAACCGCACCGGGACAGTAACAGCGACAAACTGATTGGCCTTCCTAGTTGGTAGCTGTACGAGAGAGAGAAGTAAGCTACAAGAATCGCCGCCATCATCGCCGTCCCATAGCTCGAGGAAGGAGGAAAGTGTGAACGAACCATGGCGAAGGGGGCTGTTGCATAGGAAGACGACGGAACTGCAACGGGTGGGTTTTAGTCTCACACACACTAATACACAAGCATGCAAGAGAATTCAATTCAAAGAGTTACCCAACTCAGACACAACTCCAATACGAAAATCTAGCATTGCAGCAATAGCCGTTTGGGTACAACATGAATTCCACTCCCATCCATGCATTGGCGAGAGCTGGCAAATTTATCTATCAATTGTTAACAACTTCATGTGGAACGTATCTGCAACGCATCTTTATCTGCTTACAAAGCCACCCACAAAAATTAAAAAGAAAGCTAGAGCGCAAAGTTGTTTTGATTATTTGCTTGAGCACAACAACAGAACTGCTCGAATTGCTATAAATTCCAGTTTGACTGTATTTTGTTATTTTTTTGCTAAGGTTGTTTGAGTCTCGCAGCTGATTTCCAAAGTAACAAAACACCGGAGTAAAAGAAAAGCAAATTACATCAAGAATATTATACATACTTAAATATTTGTGGATTGTGAGCGCGGCTTTGCGAATGTGATGTGCAGTTTTGTGCATTAATTATTTGACAGTACTTTCAACAGAGCCTTTTTGAAACTCGCTCAAAAAAATTTAGTTAGAAATTGATTTCAAAGCGGAGAAAATTTTATAAAAATGCAGTTAAAGCTTGCATGTGGTATTTTTTGGTTAATTTTAGATATTTACAAATGTCTTATCCACACATTTGTTAGTTTTATAAAGAAAAAAAAAATGTTGCTCTTTGGTCCACTTTCTCATGGAACCGGCCACTAGCGAAATACAAATTATTTAAAATCAAACGCTACTCTCAGCTGATGTAACAGCACCACCTTAAATAAATTCGCCTTGATTCATACAGGCAAATTCTTAATACTCCAGAGGAGTTTGTTCTCCGGGAATTTATTTCTCTTGAGAAAGAAATTCTCCAATAATTAACTCCCAGGGAGTAGAATTTTCCCAAAATTTGGGAGGAGGAAATTTAAATTTCAAAAAAGCTGTTTGACAGGAAATTTTTATTCATGATAGGAGGAAAGGGAAAAGAGAGAAATCTCCCAGGGAGTTTCTGTTCAGAATCGGCCTGATAGTGAAAAGTAGCAGTGTCTTAGAAGAAAAATTCTCTTCTTATAAAATTTATCAGACTGTTAAAATTTAAATTAACAAACTTTCCGAAAAAATTTTATCATTTTAAATTTAAAGAGTCTAATAAATTTAAAATTAATTGGTGTAACCGGGCATAAGTAAATTTTTGTAAAAGCACTAAAAGATTTTTTATTACTTCCTTTCGATTTTACTAGTTATGCTGTTGTTTTTTTGTACTTTCAATGCAAGCTGTGCAATTAGCACTCATATTACCGGCTTTCTTATCACAACAATTTAAAAGTATCAACCTGTTTATATACATACATATGTACATCCGCCAACCAAACATTCAATCCATAAAAATCAGCTGCGCTCCATAAAAATCAGCTGCGCTCTCGCGTTTAGCATAATTTTTCTGCTTTTTATTTGCTCTCATATCTGCACACACTCCCACTTTTTGTACAGCGGCATCGCTTATTTATCTAACACCCAGTGGAATCTAAGAAAATATCATCCACAGCGCGCACCTTAATATCCACGGCCACGTTGCAATGGTGCTGCTATCATCGCGGCAAGTTGGTCTAGGCATTTGGCGCGTGCCTCTAATTGCAACGTTCCGCAATTCTTTAGTCGCTTGTTATTGAAACAATGGCCATATAAGAGGGGGCAATAGCAGTACATATATATGTATGTATGTATATCTAAGCATATCAGCTAGTAATGTATTTATATATGTACTTACATATGTACGTTTGTAGACCGCTTAGTAGACAGACTTTGGTTTGGTTTGGTCTGGCCTGGTCTGGTCGGCCTTTTGCCATTTTCGGCAAGTACTCGACCCGTTTTAGTGCAACTGAGGTGCTTGAGAAATGTGTATGTTTGTAAGCTATAATGGCTTGTATGTATGCTAGTTCGTTTGTAGATACATACATCTATGGCAATATTGCTTCAGCAGTCATTGCACTCAATCGCATTTGGTTGTTGCACTTTTTTCTTTTCTACTACTGCTGACCGTAGGGGCATTGGCAAGACGAGTGACCTATCTTTTGAACCTCAAGTGCGTTCGATGGACTTTTAAGGAAGTGCTCTTCTGCATACCTACGTACTATGTACTTGCATGTGTGTGATCTCTTTGAGGCGCATCCAAAGGTGAGTTGCAACTGAACTCAAATGAAGCAGCAAATTGAATTTCAGCAGCAATTGAACCACCTGAATAGCGAGTTCATTTGCATAAACGAAATGGGTCATAAAGATACATACATATATAGGTTTATGCACTTACATTTGTATATATTGGCAATAACAAATGTATCTACCTACTTAATTGGTTACCACGCAGAAAAATTAAGCGACAGCGCTACGAAAGCGCTAGATCCATACTCAAAATTTTGGAAATCTCTCTGAACTGTTGCAAAGCGGATGCAGGGAGGGGCAGTTGAAACTTGCGTCAAAGTTTCTTATATTTATAACATGCAAAAAATAGACACACGGCACCGTTAAACCGTATTGACGGCGCAGTTGAACTGATCAAAATTGTACCTTGACAAACGACAGTTATGTGGATTACGAGCCGCGAATTCGTGTGTTCGAGTCGCAAAGCCTTTTTTTAATTCATTCAATTATTACTTTTATTTTTTTAATGTAATTAAAATTGTTGCGCAACTTTATTAAATAAATAATAATACTATAAATAATGTAAATATAAATAAATAAAAAAAATATTAATAGGATTAGACCACATTAATGTTGCCGTCTGCCTATGCTATAACATCGTTAGTCGGGAGTTCAAATCGCGGTGCAGGCAGTAGTGAGTTTTCCGATTTAACACATTTAAATTGTTGCGTGTGACTCAAAAACTTAAGAGAATATTATATAATTTTATAAAAGTAAAATAGATAACATATCTATAATATAAACATCCGAAAATGTCTTTCTCATAAAAACTTTTTGTCCCAGATCTGCCCTGAATGGAACTAGCTCAGAATGAGCTCAAAGTTGTGCAGACGAGGCGATTATCATTCCGTGGATATCGCCTTGTTAAAAAGTTAGTAGAAAGCATTGATTTGGGATAAATGAAAAACCAAATTTGAGATATATGAAAACCACTGCTATCTCTTTTTAGGCTATGTAGTTCCACGCGTGTGCTGAATCAGTTCGATTTGCTGCAGGGTACTTTATAAGTATGTATGTGTCTTTGTATCTGACTGTGCATCTCTACTACCAACGTTTGATTTGCCTAAAGGCTTTCAACTTAATTAGCCGAAAGCTTCCGACTCTCTCTTTAAATGTTGCTTATTATGTGCATATGTATGTATACTATTTATGTGCGTACATATGTATATGAATATGTATGTATGCATACTTCCCCAATGCCAATCACGTTTAGCAGAAATTCAAATTTGTTAATAATTCAAGAAAATCAAATATTTACCAATGTAACAGCAGCAGCAACAGTTTGACTGATTTTATGTGGCAAACATACATATGCAGATAAATACATACCAACATACACATATTAATATAACAGTTTGCCAAGCAAGGCAATGAGGCAGCTCGATATTGAGGCAATAAAATATGCCACCTAAATTCTACATACTGCTGGCTACGTCAACTACTCGTATCTTAGCCTACTGCATAGCATACCTCCAGGCGAACAAGCGTACGCTGGTATACACTTACGCATCTACATATGTATGTACAATGTACATATGTATATGTTGCATACATTGACGGCTGCAGCAATGCTTGAAATCAGTCGGCAAAGTAGCCAGGCCAATCACTTTATTCACTGACTGGCCGCCGGAGCAAATCATAAAAAAAAAACCATAAACAACAACAAAGTGTAATGGAGTGTGCATAATGTTGGCTTTAAATGTTGGTAAATATGTGTAGCGCAGTATTGGCTTTTATGCTTTGTAGCTGATACGCCTACAAGACGGCAGCAATTTTCTAATTCACTACCAGCAGTTGAAACTTTATTACATACATATGTATGTATATCCAAAGAGACCTCCGCAGTGATCCACGACCTTAGTATGCCCATTTTATGTATGATTTGCTTGAGTTACAGGTCAATCATAAAATATATAACTCAAGATGATATGCTGGGCAGCAATGTAAGGTAACTAAAGTTTGCCGCAATGATAGGCCGGAGGTACCATAAAGCCAAAGCAGAGGAATGTAGTGAACTCAGTTATCGAAGCACGACTGGTATTACATATGTATTTCGACATGCATATGCACATATTTTCTACTTACTCATGCATACTTTTGTATTTTGATGGTTATTACTATTTATATTATGCCGAATTCTGTTTGCTGAAGTGTAAGGCTGCCCTGGTCGAGTTTTATGGTTCGTCTTTCGCTACAGTCGCTCACTTCGAAATTACTCTGTTAACAGACGGATTGTATTGCACTTGCGGTAAAAATTTGAAAATGTGTACGTGTAAGTAGTGAGACTTGCTTTCAGAGGAAAGAAATTTCTTTAATGACACATTGATTTGTGGTTTGTAGTCTAGACGCGTTGTTTGAGTATTTAATGTTAATAATAATATTTTATGAAAACTTAAGCAAATGGGCTTTGACTTTTAAACAAGTGGCAACCCTCTCCAGAAAATTTTTGAAATAAAGCTTCCTTAAAACAACGAAATCATCCACATTGTAATATTTCATTTAACTTATTAAGAAAATAAAATACATTTTTAGCAGGTGACTATTATATAAAAAATGTTTTCGCAATAAATGTTTTTTAAATCAACGAACAGGAACAGGCACCCAT